AAAAGTAAAATGAGGAATGTAAACAGCTTTATAATTGCCCTTCCAAAAAAAGCAAGCTTTTTTTGAAGAAGTTTACCAGTAATCTCTTTACTGCTTTGCTAAGATCTTATGGCCTCCATTTTACAACGATAGACTGTCATTTCATTTGATACAAGATTGGCCTGATCTGTCTTTTATCGTGCTGCTTCCTGAGTGCATATGCTGGTTTAACTCAGTGTACAGTCAGTGCTGTCTCCTGGGGCAGGGATGATCTCATACAACTTTTGACAGTCAAATGTAGTCCTTCCTGTATATGTGAATTTGTTGTCTAGACCCCATTTATAAAGCGTTGTGCCCTTTTAAGGCTCAGTCTAATATATCTTTTGAAATATCTTTTTTTTCTGCCCACTTACTCAGAAACTTCCAGAAACTACTGCTGAGATTTGTGTTGGTTTCAGCAAAAGTTTGTGATTGACTAATGAACACTACAGGAGACAGTGTGAAACCCATCCAATACTATGATTTGCAAAAAGTGAAAGTGGCAGTAGATTTGCCCTCACTCCAGTTAAGATTTTTGGGCAGGCTGGTTATTTCAATATAATGCTGCTGTTCTACTCCGCTGGAAAGTTTGTTTCTATGTGTCGGTCAAGTCAGTGGAAGAAACATCACCAAAATGTTATGGTTTAGGAAAAATCCTTCCCACTATTATGTAAAATCCAGCTGGCTTCCTGATTTCTGAGTGAGTAGGGAGAATCCACGCAAAAAAAAACAGTCCCTGGCAGGACGCTGCCCCACCCCCCACCCCCCACCCCCGTTCAGAAAAGATAGCTAGCAACATCTTCCAAAAGCTTACCTGCATACAAAACTACTCACAGTACAAAAAATGAGCAGCAGCAGCCTCCAGACCTGAAAACAGGCATGGCATTTTGATTTCAGTGTATCTCCTTACTTGTCTTAGATTCTTGGGTGACAGCAAAAGGTGTTGTAGTTTTTCAGTCTCAAATTGACCAGGGTTGAGAATCGGTTGGTTGGGTCTGTGTTGCTTCCTTAAGCATCTATGCAATAGTGTCTACGCTTTCCTTTGCAGGACTGTGAGGTAATTTCACAATGTTAAGACATGAGGACCTGTCCAAAAAGTTGCTGAGATAATCCTGCCTGAGCTCTGTCTCAGGATGACCTATCTTCTTGGTAGGTCAAGAATGCCACTTCAAAAATAGGTACCAAAAGACCTTATTGAGTCAAAGGGAAAAGAAATACAAAGTTTCCAGATAGCAGGGATTTGAATTTATAGTTTGTCAAAATTGTCTGGCAGATGTTACAACAGATTTGGGGCCGGGGGGTTGGTTTTGTTTTAATCTCCAGAATTAAAGTTTCATCCGTTTCAACTGAGAAGAACGAGTATCCTGATGGCGGAGACTATCTAGGGGATAGTTATATTCATAGTGCTGCTATAACATCTCTGCTTTAACCATTCTAGCACCTCAGCTGTTACTCATTCGGATTGCTTAGAGGTTACTGTGTAAGTCGGAGATCTTTCTGATGGACTGTGCATTGTCAGTGCCTCTGTACTTTTTGTTTTTTAAACCAACAAAAGCAGACTGGCTTGGGCATAAAACTCTCCTACTTACCTGCTGTGCATCAAACTTGAAAAGAGAAGATGCCCAGACAGAATTTTATATATGACTTTTGAAATGTCCCGAAAATGAATGTGTAAAATTGTGCTTAGTAAAAATGTGAGTTTATATACCAACATCTTTCTGCAGCATGAGGTTTAGTTAGACTGGACATAAACCTGCCTGCGAGTCTGTCGTGGTTTAACCTCAGTCAGCAACTGAGTACCGCACAACCGCTCGCTCACTCCCCCCCCCGCCCCCGGTGGGATGGGGGAGAGAACTGAAAGAGCACAAGTGAGAAAAACTCGTGGGTTGAGATAAAAACAGTTTAATAATTGAAATAAAATAATAATAATATAATAATAATACACAAAGCAAGTGATGCACAGTGCAATTGCTCACCACCCGCCGACCAATGCCCAGCCAGTCCCTGACCCTCCCAGCTTCTTGTGCCCCTCCAGCCTTCTCAGTCGGTAGAGCATGGGAAGCTGAAAAGTCCTTGACCAGTGTAAGCACTACCTAGCAACAACTAAAACATCAGTGCATTATCAACTTTGTTCTCATCCTAAATCCAAAACACAGCACTGTACCAGCTACTAGGAAGGAAATTATCTCTGCCGAAACCAGGACCGAGTCCTTAGAAATGTGTTTATCTTAAATGTGAATGCAGGAGTGGGCAAATTTACCTTTGTCACATGCAGGGAATTGAATGAGTAGAGCCGCTCGTCGGTGTATGGTTGTTCTACCAGGCTTCATCTACAGAGAATAGTGATTTGGTACATGCCTGAGCTCAAGACTACAGATTCCTAACGTTAAAGATTCATGGGTGTTATCCACTGTGTTGATTTTTGCAGGATCTGGTGAAATCAAGTCCATTTAAAATCTTGTCCTGTTCATTTTCAACAAGTATCAGAGCTATCCCTATCGCTTACCCTGCATCTGTCTATGTGTTTAGCACAAGTATGGATCTTCAGCTCCTGTGTCTGAATGCCACTTCTGGAAGCTGAATTCCAGCTATAAAGCTGGAAGAGCTGGCCTGATTTTGCACCTTTGAAAGTTTGCTTATCCAAATTGTCTCCAACTCATGACTTCTTACGCACTAGAGCAACAAAACCGCGAGAGGCCCTGGAAGCACTCGGCGTACCAAACTGTGCTGTAGCGTTTCACAGGAAGCACGCTTGCCTTCACATAAACCCCGGCCAGCCACAAACAGTTATGTTTTTAGCTGCATCTGCACCTGACCTTAAACAGAGGAAAACAGAGTTGTCTGACAAAAATGTTGTTGATCCCCTTTCCGTTGTCTTTTTCCAGTATGTGGTGCTTCGGTGCATTAAGTTGGGTATTTCCTTGGCTCGGTTCTGTTTCATCATGAAAAATGAACACAGAAATCCTTCCCCCCCGCCCCTTCCCCTCACTCTTCTGGATCACAGTGGGAACAAGGATCAGCAGAGAGTTTCTCTACTCAAGATCTGTAGGCCCAATATTGCAACTAATCCTGTGGCCCAAAGAGCTTTGCCTCTGCTTGTGCACAGGACCTTCCACGCTGCAGCTGGCCACCGGCTTTCTTCCCGCTTCCTTCCTGTATTCACGCCTGCATGTGTGCACCTGGGTCAGTGCAGAACCCTTGCAGTTCTGCTCCCTAGAGAAGGGCAGAAACCTTTACTGTTTCGCTTTGGGCTGGTTGCACTGTGCAGTCTGTGGTCTCAAATGAGAGTCTCCAGTTGTTGTCAGAGCCGTCGCTGTGTAAAAGCATGTGCTGCTTTTCCCTTCACCTTAACCCAGGAGTCCTTCCTGCCTCCCTGGTTGAAGTCTCCTGCTGTCCTTGCAGTGATACACATGGCTTCAAATCTAAAACCACAGTCTAAGGATAGAGAACAGTTTGGGAATAGTGTCATTTTAAGATTTTCTTTTTCTTACCTGTCCCATTCACTGCCACGTGTTCTGATGTGGCATATTCTTATGCAGTACCCCATATTAAGATGTATTTGTATTCTGGAGCAACTGCTTGTGATCCAAATTAAGAAATTTATCAATGTTTGGGGTTTTTTTGAGGAGGAAAAAAAAAAAGTTGTATCTTTTAAGCTGGATAAGGTCCTTGACGTCTTTCAAGGTGTGCAGCCCAAGGTGATCTGAACTAGGACTAATACAGTCCTGTCTTCTCTTTCACCTCTGGTTCCTGCCCCTTTCTTTCATCTAATCCTGCAGGGAGCCCATTCTGCTAGTTGAGGCAGCAAAAAATATTGTGTGCTGTTGGGGAGGGGGGGTAATACCAGTTTTCTGTTGGCTTAGCTTCCTCAATCAGATCATTGTTAAATGCAGGGGGACTAGCTCTGATGTAGACCACTTTCTGCGGGATTGGGTCCTTCCTGGGGAAGCTTAGTTTAGCTGTGTCACATGCTCCTTTTTTTGTTTGTTTGTTTTCCTTAAGATCCCTAATTAAACAGTCTAATATATCTTGCAGTGCTGCCCTCAATCTTGATATTGCAGGAGTTAAGATACAATGAGTGGTTTGTCATTTGTATTTGCAAACTTTACCATTCTGAGATCTTCACTAAGGTTTGTAACTACTAAGAAAATGCCCTGTTTCTGTGACACTTAGTGCAGGCTATTTGCTTGCCTTTAGCAGAATATTGTTATACGTGTTCAAAACTAAACTCTGCTTGGCAAAGGCAGAATCTACAACTGATCCTCTTGCATGCATGTGAATGCCAGACTTTTCATTCTGTGTGGTTTATCTTTAAATTTTACCACTTGTTTGTAGACCAGGCCTCAGGACAGAGTAATCAGGCCTCAATTAGTCTTTCGGGTATGATGATATTTCACCAGAGGTGTGATCCTTCTCCATCCCACTCTCCACCTGCCAAATGCTCAGTGGATGCATAAACATGCTGTTAGTCCCAAACTAAGCAATGCAACTTCTTAGTGGATCTTATTATCTTACCATGCTGTCCATGTAGGGGCACAGCAAGTGCTCATCTGCCTGCAAAGGCCTTGCAGACTTTATAGGAAAAGATTTATGTGAGAAGTTCTTTTCCTTCTGCTGTAGGTGATGTGAGTCATATGTTATTACTGAAGGAAAGTGCCTGATTTTCTACCTCTTACTTCTTTCAGTCTTTTTTCATCTTAAGGAAGAAGAGAACTTGGGATGGTGATGATGGGGAAGATAAAACTGAGCATGGGATGGAGATCCAGTTCATTTGATAGTTGGGTAGTGCAAATGTTGTCATTTTTAATGTGCTAAGAGCAGGTTGTTGTGGTACCATGCTTTTGTATCATCATTATACCTAACTCCTGTCCATGGTAGTTTAGTCATTGCCCAAAGCAAGTGACAGATGCTGTACTAACTTTTTTTTCGCTTCTTTGTAATAAAGCACCTAAAACTATCTCATTCTCCTTGGGTTTTATGTAGGAAATGAAGACACAAACAACTCCAGCAGTACTACATCCTTTACTATGATTCCAGACCATAAGTTGCAAGGTAATACTCTTGGCATTTCTGTTGCTGTTCCTCAGTAGCATTGAGAAAAGCAATATGTATTATTGTATGCCTTAAACTGTCCTGTAATAGTTTGCCCTTTGTTTTATTTTATTGAATTGTGAACAACTGTAGGGCAGGAGGGAGGTACTCCGATTGTCGCATCTATTTGGGGACAACTAAAGATATTTAAGAGGAACAGTAGAACACAACTTAATCCTTGTATCCGTAGGTACTCTGGAGCAACAGAGAGAGGAGAAATAAATTGGGGAAATTTTATGTATAGAACTAGAAATACCTGCCAACGTCAATTTACAGTTAAAAAGAGAACCACCAGCTCAAGAAGTCTGCTAGGCTAGAATTCAGGCTCTTGAGAAAAAGGCAAGGCACTTTTTCATTTGATTTTTAACATCAGAATGGATTCTAGGCCCACCATGCTTGAGCTCATTGCTAAAGTACACATTTATTTCATAGTGTAATCTCATTTTGATTGCGTTAAGCTGTACACCTTTAAGCATGTGCCATGCAAAAGGCATATTCCTTGAGTCATTTTTGCCCTGTACTACTACGCTCATCTCATTTGCTGTTGGCCAACAAGTGGGATGTATAGCCAATACTCTGCTCATTGACTCACTCTATCCTGTTTTCGTTGCATCACTGACTCACACCCAAATTCCAGGCAGTGTACGTGGCTTCTTTTCACCTGTATGAGCATGCAGTCCACATCTAGACGTGTTCCCAGGGTTGCAGAAGTGAGCACTCAGAACTTGGGGGAAAACCAAAGCTGTGTTCTCGTTACAGTATTGGGCCAGTGTGGGAAAGGTTTAGCCCCAGGCATATCCATGGCTTACGCTGGTATAAAAGTCAACATATCCAAGAAAGAATGTGTTTGTAATTGTACAATCACAGACTGTTTCTCAAAGGCAATTAAATCTGCAATTTAATATCCCAGGTATGTCAGTATAAGGGTTGTGTGTGCAGTACACAATGGTGGGGCTAGTTGGCTATGATTATACCAAAGAAAAGGCAAAATAATTCCCTCTGTAAATTTTTTTTCTCCTCTTTTTGGTAGGTGGTATGAAGGTGTAAATTTGTTGCATTTGTTCTTAAACCTGAGCTTGCTCATAACATGTATGCAATTGCAAAGAGGGTTGACAAAACTGTTTTAGACTAGACTTACTCCAGTGGTAAGAACAGCAGATCCGTTCAAAGGAAATAGGCCTGCTTCTTGATTCTGGTAGCTGTGTTGCTATTCTTGTAATCTCTGAGGTTATGCACTTTGTTTTCTAGCCATGCTGAAAAGCAATAGAGCTGCTGCAAGGCGCATAGCACTAGCAATGTGGGAGGAGGCTGTAAAAGATCAGTTACTTCAGAGAAAAGAATAATCACAGAATGGGCGTAGACAACAGTGCAGAATGAAGGGAGGAAAGTACGGACAGTGACGCTTCCAGGAACGGGAGTTACCGAACAGCCCAGTAGATCTTTGCCAGGAGGAAGAGACTGTTAACCTGTGAGAAACACTGAAGAGGGATGCAGCAATGAGGACAGAAGTGAGAGTGGGAGGGTGCCTGAGAACCTAGAAGTAACATGAGTAGGAAGGGGAAAAAAAAAAAGAGAACTGGAAAAGTAGAAGTGAAAGAAAGGAAGGAAGGACAAAACCATTATGACTGAAACATGGTTTGTATTTTAAGTCTTTGGAAACAGGTGCGTTCTTAGGACCCTTTTTGTGTAGAGAGCATAAGCCCATAGAAAGATGTTTCACAGGGTATTAGTCTGTCCCTACTTGACACGACTACAGTGTGTTCCTAGCCTGAGCCCAGTTTGTAACAGAGATGCAACAAAATGAAAGAAAAGATTGAGGGACAGGAAATGGAACTGAAATAGTTCCCCATAGTGCTTAAGTAGGTCAAGAAAGTCAGTGACAGTATGGCTGATACAACAACTGGAATAGAGCATGACATAGAAGTGGAAGAGAGCAAAAAGAGGAGATGTAAAGAATTCAGATGCAGACCATTTGGGCACTGCTGTGCATACAGTGTAACTATGTTCTTGCTGCACTGAGATCTGGAAGCATTTTGCAGGGGGATAAAACCATCTGCTTTGGGATGGAGTACTCACTGCTCTATTCCCACTTGTAGCCTGCAAACACAGATACACTGAGGAGAGTATTGTGTTGTGGGTACTTTAATTATAGTATTATAATTTAACATACTATAGTATGTTAAAATTAAAATGAATAATATTTCTTTTCTTGTTTTCTTTTTTCCTTAAAGACAATAGCAGTTCATCCAATCTTACTGTTATATCATCCACACAATCTACAGCAACATCTACAGTAGGTACGTATCTGTTCATTTGTCCATTACTATGAACCTAGAAGCTAGCTCCAAACTTACCCCAGATCATACCAAATTCTAAAGAAATATCCATCAAAAGAGGGTATTTGAGAGAGGCATTATCATTTTAGGGCTGGGAGGCAACATGTAAAACTGAAAAGAATCTATACTGTTTTTCAAGTTTAGGTAGCATGTTCATCGGTAGAAGCAATGACATTTGCAGTGCCATTGAAAAACAGGAATCAAAACTTCAAGGAAGAATTGAAAGAAGTTGGTCTTTTTAATGTTCGTTCTTTGTCTCTAAGCAAACTTCTTCCATCTTCATGGAGTAAAGATGAATAGGTTGTTGTGCAAACAGTGCATATCTGTTTAATCTTATTTCATAGTAAATAGATTTAGGGTATAATGAAGTCCTGGGGGCTTGAGTTTCAAGAGTAAGACTCCCATTTCCTTTTAGGTAAGACTTATGGCACCTTATACCGTAGAAAATAGTCCTTATAGAGCTCATAGCACAAAACAGTGGAGTTCAAGCGAGACATGAGCAGCAGATCTGGGACAGTCTGTCACGGGTACTTTTGCATTGTTCTAGCACTACCGTCTTTCCTTCACAACTTGGCAAAAGAACTGTAGGTAAGAATGATTTCCCAGGGCAGCAGTGTTGCAGTCGTGATGCTCCAACATAAGTAACATGTTTACAAAACACATCTTTGTAGAAAGAAGAAATAGGTATATTAGGTCAACTAGTAGAGTTTGAAAGCAGATATTTAACCTGGGACACAAACAAACAGTTCATCCACTTGGATTTGCAGTGTTCCAACTGTTGGCTATGTCAATGTGAGATTATTAAAAAAGGACATTAAAAAAATGATTTTCTGGAAGAACTTGCACAGGCATACTTCACCACATTGGTAAAGATTGGAGAAGAATTAATGTCATGCAGTTGTTCAGCCTGTGACGCACAGATAAAAGGTTGTATCTGAGAGAAGAGAAGCTAGTTCCATGCAGGAACGGGGTCCCCTTTGTGCTAAGAGCCATGTGAAAGCAGGGCAGAAATATTGTGCCTGCCCTAAGATACTTTGTGTATTTGTGGAGTGTTACACTGATCATAAGGTCCCAGCTATGTCATTCCATTTCCAGTACAACTCTCACGTGGTGTGTCTGTAGTCTCCAGATAACCTCTGAGCTACCACACTCAGAAGTTGCTTGTTATTCATTTAAGAATAAAACACTCACCAGGGAAAAAAAAAATCTCTGCAAAGATCTTCCTTTTGATAGCAAGGACGTCGTGCAGCATCTCATTCCATTGCCTGCAGTGTACCAGTTTAAGCTTGTCTAACTTGGAAAGTGGAGAGATTTTTGTAATCCCCATGTTGCCTCAGGGCCTTCCCCATGTATAAAGCCATTGTTAACCACAGGTGGTTTACCCACCCTGTGCTCCAACCCTTCTGCCCTCTGCTCCAACCCTGACTATGACTTTCTTGCAGAGATCTGAGCTTTACTATGTCTGGATAATAATAGTAAAAAGAGGCCTGAGCCCTTTACTGTTAGGCACAGTACAAACCTAACAGACAGCTATGCCTTGCTTCACACGGTTTATGATTCATATTCTTCTCTTTTTTTCTTTTTTTTTTGTTAGAAACTTCATAGATTTTAAGACAAAGTTCATCCATTTTGATTATCTGTCTTGACCTCTTCAGAATAAAGACTACTGGATATATGTACTTAATTTTGCTTAAAGTCTCTGCTTTTTTTTTTTTTGAAGCTTTTCTTGGCAGAAGCAAAAGTCTGTTTCATTCAATCATTTTCCATGCAAAGGAGAGTATTTATTTATTTTAGGAAGAGCATTCAATAATAATTATTTTGTGTGTTAGCATGGTGCTTATGCAATTTGAGTAGTTGTGCTCGTTCTTGTTGAGTTAGAACACTAAGGGAGTAGTGCATGCTGCTAAGAATTCTTATCTTTACGCTGTATACATAGTTTGATGGATATAGCATAGGTATTTAATGTTTAAACACAGGTAGCATACAAAGTAAAATACTTGTCTCTCTTAAAAATAAAGCATCATAAACCTGAACTATATTACTGGCATGCATCCTTTTTAAATAATAAAAATTAACTCAGGCAGCCTGGGTTTGTTTAGTGTGATGTTTGATGAAGCCCAGCTGGTCTTTTGGGGGAAAAGTAATTGGGGAAATAAAAGATAAAAGGACAGATGTTGCTAGCAAATGTTCTTTCATCTTAACTCTGTTGGTAAAATAGTAGGGGTAAGATTTTTCAAAGACACAGAAGAACAGGTTGGTGCCCAATTCATGTTAGCTTCCCAAATTCTCCAGCTGCCCTCAGACAGCCTCCCACTGATGTTTTGAAATGACTGATGCTAAATACATCATGAAAGGTAAGTCTGTAGGCGATTAACCAGATTTTACCCTTAATGTTGCATCACCAAATGCTGTGATCTTGATAAAGTAAGAAAAAAGGATCGCTGGTGGGAAAGAGAGGGGGAAAAAGTAATGTGCAAATTTGCTGAAATTCCTCATGATAGCTGCTTGGATATTTTTTATGCTGACTCGGGTTTTCTGTAGCGTAATTTAATGCCTATGGAATAAGTACCATCTTTGTGTAACGTTGTTTAATAACGTTACGGATGGAACAATTAGTCATTATATTGCTCAGAAACACAAGCCAGTTTGACACTCAGAAATCATGACTAAAAAAAAACCACAGAAAACTGACTGGTTGACACTTGCATTCAGATTTGTCTTTCTTTTGGTATCTTTTATATTAGGAATGCAGTTACCAGGTGTGGTTTCATGTCATATAACTGTAGATGGTTTCCATATAGACATTTCCTTGCTTATTTTCCTACAATAAGGAACCATTTGATATTTATAGATCATTGTGCCTTTGGGGCGTTTACCTGTCAGTATTAAAATGTGCCCTGAATTTTATCTGATGTATTTTACACATGCTTCATAGAGGAACTGAATTTCCTAATTGTAACAAGGTAAGCACGTGAATATAGTACTCCAACTGTTCCATCTCAATGAATGCTCATTTCAAAGTGTTTCCTAGGGTTATGGCACAATACAATTATAACATCAAAGAACACGAAAATAAGTAACAATTACTATGGGGACTGTATTGGGCTGTTTCAGTAGTTTTAATGTTAAATGTCTCAGAACAGTGTTGTGTAGGCCAATTCCTTTCTGAATGCTTACATTGTCGTATTGTTTGGGTTTTTTAAGTTTTCGATGTTCACATCTGTACTGGAAGCAGTGATACTTAAGTCTTAGCAAATACACCATTCCATGTGTAGTTACTCACGTTTTAAACCACACTTACAGGAAGATTATTCTATAGAAGCATTCTGGATGCTGTATAAAAAAAGTAAAAATTGAATATCAAGTTTACTGTGGAATAGAGATGAAACTACCTATTCTTCAGTTGTTCTAGTTTTAGACAATTTCAAGAAAACGTAGGTATAATTAGACATTTGAATGTCCATAATGAAAAGCTTTTGTGGTGTTTAAAATGAACCCAGCTTGTGTGAGGTTATAGAAATAATACAGAAGTAGACAGCTGCAAAGGGAGCTTTTTCTCCCTAGAATTCCTTCATACATAAAAGCTATTTGCTGCATATTGTCTGCTTAGAGAAATGTTAGTTGCATAACAGGCTCATGTTTCTTGTTAGTTCCTTCTTAGAAAAATAAGTAATTATTCTTAAGATCATTCTAGCTGGCTGCCTTCTATTAAGGTTCTAAGGATTTTGCTATAAATATCAATCTCTATTATTATTGAATTTTGCTTCATGGTATTTTTATTCTGAACAGTTCATTACTGCTTTCTGAGGAGGGAAGGGGAAGTGTTAGGTAAAAACAGAGTAAAAGTTAAAGACATTAGGTGTCAATTCAAGTTGTGAAACAGCATTCCAATCTTTGTTTTAACCTTGGCAAGACAGCCCGCTACTAAATAAATGATACAAGCCAGCAGATTTACTTTAGTCAAACTTTTATTATGTGTGGAAAACCTTTTGAACCTTAAGTTTAACATACATACAGAATTCTTTCTGGTAAGTTTAATATACATGCAGCCTTAGTAAAGCCAGTGTTTCATTCAAAAGCAAATTAAAGATTTAATCATTACTAAAATCGGGGGGGGGCGGAAGTTTTCGTGCAAAAAAATGTTCTTATCAGAAAAGCTTAGTTATCTGAAAGTTGGGCGTTTCAAATGGAAAGTTACTCTTGATCCAGAATTTTATCACATTTTAAAATACTGTAAGTCAGGCATGATTCTATGGAATTGGATACTGTTATCCAAAAAAAATTCATCCTTCTAAAAGTTATCAGATATTATCCAGGTTTTCTTTACAGCCTTTCCTTTAAACCATTCCTGACCTTGAGCCCCAGAAATCAGAAGTTAGGTCTTTCCAAAGGAAATGCATAGGGGAAGAGTCTGTATGCAAGCCTGGATATCCATGCAGTGGCATTTTCATTGTTACTCTGTCATTCTATTTGGGCATGATAAATGCTATCTTATTCAATGAGTATATAATTTATTATTTTTATGTATTTTTCTGTGTGATACTACAAATAAAAATTTCCCAGGTATGTCCACCAGTACTACTCATCTGACCAGTACTAGTCAGCCCACCAACACCACTATGTCTGTCACCTTGATGACTCAGCCCACCAAAACCAGCCAGACAAGAAGGTCCACCACAGCTTCATCAGTCACATCATCACAACTCAATATTACAGTGGTGACCACTTCCAAGATTTCTTTCACTTCTGTAACAGGTGAGTTCTCATTTCAAGAAGCTCGTAAAGGCTTGTATGCACGTTGACATGTGTTGTACAATTGTGGAATTGTTAGTTTTTTACAGTAGCATAACAAAGAAGGTATTTGCATGCTGAAAAATGAGAGTAAGGTGGGGTTTTATTATTAAGTTGGCTACAATAATGTTGCTCTGAGCACTCCACTTACTTAAATAAGGCTTCACTTAACCTGAGAGACCTGACATATTTAGGAAAAAAAAAAATAAAATGCAAGTGGTCTGAACCAGCAGCCACTAGCTAGGAGATGAGCAATGTTAGGAGAAAGCCTGCCTTTTGAATACAACTTCTGTATTTGTTCAGCTCTCCTTTCTACAGCTTACTTGAACTCATCTCTAATACTTCCTTTTTCACAGCTGACCTGTGGCTCAGAATATGTCTACTGGCTTGGTGGAAAGACTGAGTTCTGTTAGCTACTTTTGTAGCAATGAAATTAATTTTATCCCTAATGGAGAATAGAGTCTGACTATGAACGAGTCACACTTTATGTAGAAGTTGTCAAATACAGTTTGACAGTACCCTTTAATACAAAAACAGTAAGTGTAGAATTCAGTATTTCATTGCTGTTAGCTGCTCGTTCACACCACTTGGTGCTTACACTTCTAAACAGATTGAGGTTGCTCACATGGCAGTGAAGCATTATTGGGTAGATGAAGCTGTCATCAGCAGAACTTTAGTTGGCCACGTAACGCTCCCTGTGGCAAGTACAAATAGAGATGGGCACAGACTGGGTCTTTTGGTCGGAGTTTGTAGCAGATAAAACCAGTTTTCACACGGAAACTGCTATGGCTTATCTGAGGTCATGTTATCTACGTCAATATTTGTGTTGGGCTGCAGAGCTGATCTCACTTGGAGAGTGAGGGTACAATTCCATGAGACAAGGTAAAGCAATCCAACAGCTCATCGCCACAAAAAGTATGTTATTCCCACCACGTAACTGTACTGACTGACTTGGTGGTTGTTGGACCCCTCTGCAGACTGACTCAGTAGGCTCATCTGACTAAAAGCAACTTACTTTTCTGCTTGGGTTAATTTCAGGCCAGCTTAGTGAGTTGAATTGGCTCATGGAGGGTATTAAAAACATTAGAACTGGCCTAAGAAGGGCAGGAACTGGATGTGTGGAAGGAGGGGAGAGCAGGGGGGAAAAAAGGCAGGGGAAAGAGGGAGGTGGAGAGGAGAAGGGGCAGTCAGTCGTTCAGAGACAGCAAGATCAGCTGCTCCTGTATCACCAGAATCTGGCACTTAAAAATGGAGCTCTAGGTTTCAGTGTGCTTGGCTGGTATCTTTCCAGTTGATCTATCTTCAATTTGTCTAATTGCATCTTTAGATGATATGTCAATGGGGAGGGCAGGATATAGAGTCCCTCAAAACACAATTTTGCAAGCTCTGTAAAAAGTGCCTTTTGTTTTCTTCTTTTCAGCCACATCAAAATCCGAGGCTGTCGTAGCCAAAACCTCCAGATTTGATGTGGGCAGTTTTGTAGGTGGCATTGTGCTGACACTTGGAGTCCTAGTTATTCTCTACATCGGATGCAAAACCTACCACTCTAGAAGAGGCATTCAGTACAGAACCATGTAAGTTCCAGGGGATTGTCCCTTGTCAATTTATTACTTTCTTGAGGGGAACAAGGACAAACAAAACAAGGAGAATGAACTCTGATACATACATTTGTTTAATGTACATTATATTAACATCATAGAGAGATTTAACTGTGATATTTTGTCTTTCACCACTTCAGCTATTCCTCTTTATTATTGTGCCTCTCTTCTGTGTGGGTTTTTTCTCTGATCTATTACATAAAATCATTTTGTTTTTTTAAAGGATCCTTGTCCTTTAGCTATTTCATGAATAGCTAATGTTTCCTTGAAAACATTTCCTTGAAATGTTTGCTGCAATTTGCAAGAATTCTGGTTCTTCCTGACGCTTTCTCCTAGACTCTATTTGTCTATTCACTCTTTGGTGTTTCCTCCCCGTTGCCATTAATTTTTTTGTAGTAGCTCTATTTTCTATTACCTATATGACATCTTGTTGGAACTCTGTTACCATCTCTCTTTTGTATCACCTTTTATGTACCTTCAAGTCTAGTTTGAGCAGCCAGTTTTAAAGCCAGACATCTCATATTCCACATCCTTAAGCCACCACTGTTGAATTGATTCATTTATTTATTGTCACAGAAAACATTCAAAGGCAATATGGCCATTATTCACATTTTTAAAACTACAGTATTTGACTGTTGTCAATATATGAACCCAAACTTTTGCCCCACCTTGCAATATAGGCAGGCCAGCTGGTTGATTTCTAATATTTAGTTTTCTGTGTTCTCTTGTTCTCAACTCCAGAAACCTGTCCATAAAATTGTATGCTCTGAACCTGCTTTAAGTACTTTTTCACAAGTCCATGAAATGAGAAGTAGAATTCATTTAACTGAATACAGGCATCTGCGTCTGAAGTAGTCATTTCATATCATTCATATTACCCTAAAGTAGGGTAAATCTGTCAGATGAATCAGCCTATCCACGCGTTTTTGTATTCACTTACTGTGAGGGCAGCTAAGAGTCTTAGATAAAGAAGTTTGTGCTGTGAATATTGAAAGGTACAGGGTGGATCCCACCTAAAGTCACTTGTTTACTGTGTACGCCAGTGACTTTCAACCTTCTTTGAGCTGCCGGCTGCTGATATTTTCCATGTGGAATGTGGGTGCTTTACAGCAAATACAAGCCTATTGAAAGTAAGCTTGCTTTTCCTAGTTATCTCTTCAAGACCCTTTAGAAGTTGTTTGTGGGCTTCAGACAGTCTGTAGACTACCAGTTGAAAAACGCTGATTTAAACAGATTCTCTGCCACCAACTTTTTCTAGGCAACTGGTCTCACTCCTTTATGATATCAGATTGGGGGACAGGAGGTGGTAGGTCCAGTCTTGTCTTGGGTATGGTTCTTCTTTGTGGAGCTACTCTTTTCCTCTCCTTTGCAGCATTCATTTCTGAGAGCACAGGACTAGCCAGATAGCTATGATTTTGACTTCATCTTGTATCTCATCCCTTTTGTGGTGAATAGTTCAATCAAAATTGTACCATCTCACTTGCCATTTATACTCGGCTCTACTCAGTTTTCTTCCAGGCTTCCAGACTTGCCTCCTTGTCCCACATTTAGTTTAAGAACTGGGAATTCTTAAAACTAGATTGCTTTTCTTCCTATTCAGTATCATCCATCTCAGTTGAGAAGCTTGTTTTAAGTGAGGTGATGCCACTAGCATCATTGTTGCGACGCTAGTGTTTAGGCATTGTGTTTTCTCTCCATCTTGACTCCTGCTTGCTGGTCATGGAATTTAACCAGTCCCTGCTGCACATGTTTACCCACAGTAGTGTTTGAATGGATATTGTAGAATCCAGATCAACGGTATCTTTAAAACAAAGAAAACCTGTCTCTGAGTTTGTAAACTGGCTTTGATTAGCCGTAACTACTGGATATAGGTAAGATAGATAGGATAAAAATGCCTGAGCACAGCTGATCTAAAAATATGTACTTGAATGAAATGTGAAAGCCAAAATGTTAATAAGGCTGGTGAAGCTGGAGGAGTGTTGACAAAATGAAATTATTCTGTGCACTTCAGACTTGGCTCAGAGAGGTCTGTAACTCCCAGATCAATGTGTCCTTAGCCCTTCCCAGCAAGATGGCCTCTGTTCATAAAATAACCTTCTCAGCAGCAGCTGGGTGGCTGTTTCTCATGTTGACTGTTGCTTGTACTGCAGAACATTAATTACTGTGTTTCTATTACAGTGATGAACATGATGCCATCATTTAAAGAGACTTCAGGGAAGACGGTGTTGGAAACTCATCCTATCAATCACAGCTGTTGTAACTTACTTCTGAGAGTTCCTTTCATAAAGATGATCATAGTCTCTAAACTTGTCTTGGGTGTGATCCTGCAAAATGTTGAGAAGCTCTTTAAACATCCTGATTTTTTTGCTTTGGCTTTCATAAGAAGAGGAGGAACTCAGCACTTTGTAGAGACAGTATTTTCTTTTTCCAGTATTTGTAACCAAACTTAAAGAAACACATATATTGAGTCATTTTAAGGTATACACACAAGTCTCTGAAATAACTAATTACTAGCACAGTGGATTGCATCATTGCAATTCTAAGTAAGTTCAATTATTTCTCACATACTGCGTAAATCCAGTGTGTTCCATAATGGATACAGTAGGTTAAATAGGATAGCTTTGAGACCAAGCATAGGTTTTTGCAAGTAAATTTTTTTTCCCCTAAGATTTTGTATTAAAATGTATTTATTTTGAAGTTTGACGTGAACTTTAGTTTAGAAATTTTGGATTTTGAACAATTCAGTTAATTTTTATTAGGCTATAAAGGAACATGGTTTGCTAACTGTATAGAAGGTAATAATGAGTACTTTAAACTTCAGTCATTAGCTCACCAGTGACGTGCAGAGACTTTCCTTAACAGGCTATACAATGAGACTAGCTGCAGGAAGCATGGACAGACCAGAGATACCCATCCACGACCCTTTTCTCTAAATGGGTCCTTGTAAGAAAACAGACTATGCGATCCATAGCTTCTTTTTTCTCGCATGTCCTAACAAAGCATGTGCAATTGAAGATAAAATAAAAATGGAAAAAAGTCATTGCACCATCATAAATACAATAAAATATGAAAATTGTTTATAAAAATTGGCTTTTAAGCTGAACGTAGCAATCATGTCACTCGGGTTTTATTATTATGAAGCTGTATGCAATGTTTTAGCAGCATTTGATAAGCATTGAAAGTAACATAGAGAAGTGGAAAATCTGTAAGATAGCATTTTAGAAGAATATAATTGCATTTTTACAACTATTTTCAGAACTTGGTACTGCTGCACACATGTACAGAGGTCTGGTCAAAAGCCCACTGAAGGCAACAGGGCATCTCTCAGAAGGCCTTTAGATTAAGGCCCAAATACACTGGGGGTCCTGTGCAAGATGGCTGATGCTGCTTCCATGTCACCTCTGCGTTTACACTGAGGTAAACCTGCTGACTTCAGTAGATGGGCTCCTGATTTACACTGGTGTAAGGAAAACTAGAGCAAGGATCAAAAAACACAGGCCTGCATCTCCTTCTGTCACTGAATAATTGTTCGGTCCTGCTCAGCCTCCACTTGTAGACCTCTCTCTGGTGAAGAGGGTTGATGTGGTGGGACTTGAGCATCCTGGTTACTGCTGGCATTAGTCCATCAGGCAGGCACAGACGGGAGGTGGTGACAGCTGAGGAAGGTCACAACAGGAACTGCATATGGGTCTGTCAGGGGCTGGGGTACAATGCATCAAGGGAAATAAGACTACAGCTCTGGCACAGGTTAATTTTTTTTGTTGAGCAATAGTTTATTCTGACATGCAGTGTTAAAGTGGCCATATGGATGGTTTTTTCCTTTTTCACATGGAGTAGTAAAACCGCTGTGTCCGAGGCACAGCCAACTCCAGCAAACCATGGCTCATGAGTAGTCTTAATAACACCAGCCACGCAACTGAAACGGGGGTAGCCAGGCTGTTTTGCTTTTTACTGAGATTGAGGTATGGGGGAAGAGTGAGTTGAAGTAACTTTTGTGATTTATCTTAATTGCATTGTTTGGTGGTGGAAAGCTTCTGGTTTTCACTTGAAGAGTTTGGAAACAATTCTTCCATAGAACTGCAATTCCTTACTTTTTGTAGAAATTGAGACAATTAAGTGCAACTCAATTACTTGGATTGTTTCACCTCTGTTGTACAGATGAATAAATAAAATTCAATCTTTGGAGTTACTATATCAATTTCAGTTGGATTTTTATTTTATTAGATTATTTCATAATTCCCTCAACTCTTTCCACAGTCATAACCATTAAGTAAGAAGTGTTCACTATATACCTTTTTAAATGTTAGAATACCAGACCTAGTGCATTTTTGCCCAGCTCAATCATTTGTAATTTATTTTGTAATCTCATTACTACAATAAAGCAAAATTATGTGCTTAAGATTTCAGAGGTGTCAGTGCAAATATAAAACCTGACCTCCTTTCAGGTGTTTGGATACTAGACAAAGGGAGGTGCAATTGATAAATCTTACCTTTAACTTTACATTTGCTTTCCAACAGTAAGTGAAAACCCAGCTTTAAGTTACACACATGTAAAGTGGGATGAACAGGACAGCTTTTCAGTGTAGCATACCACCACCAAGTGCATATTTAGGCCTTCAGTCCTGGAGGTCGCTGTACAGCATTGGAACAAGCAGTGGACCTGAATTTAGCTATGCTCTACACATGTAGAGGGGTTGAATGTATTATATAACCGAAAGAGTAATTTAGCATTCAAAAATCCTGATTATGTTAACTAAAGATTGGCACTTAGTTTCTGTAAGGAAAGAGTATTTGAAAGGGTTTGCCACAGGAGTCTACCAAACTTTAGACCAATATGAGGTATAAAGCTGAAGTAGGAGCAAAAGACAGGTCTTCTGTCTCATAGACTGAAGTCTAGCACTATCCCAGGCAACTGGGGAATAGAATATAGCACAGAATAGTTGGAAGGGACCTACAATGATCATCTAGTCCAACTGCCTGACCAATTCAGGGCTGACCAAAAGTTAAAGCATATTATTAAGGGCATTGTCTAAATGCCTCTTAAACACTGACAGGCTTGGGGCATCGACCACCTCTCCAGGAAGCCTGTTTCAGTGTTTGACCACCCTCTCGGTAAAGAAATGCTTCCTAAATATAATCCCTTGCTCACGGAAGTCTCTTCCCACTCACTTCTCTGGTGATCAGTTATTCCAAATTCAATCATAAGTTTATGATCTGTTTATATTCATTTTATGCAACAAATTTTTAGCATGAATAGCTCCTCCCCTTCTCTAGGTATGCTTATGCTACAGTCAGTCCTTCAGCTGTTCCTTAACTGAGTTTATTAATATTGTAAAGATGATTCAACTGTTCACAGTTCATCCTCTCAACAGGACTGCGTAATGTTGTCTTACTAGCACTGATGGCTGAGCAATGCAGTTCATAGTTCTGTCTTGACTAGGAACCCCTCTGGTGACACATCACAGAACTGCATTTACAGTATCATGTTTTAAGCCCATCACCAGCGTTCAATTGATTATTACAGCTCTTTCACACAACCCCTATGCTCGTTTTTAATCCTTAAAATTCATGGTTTTGTGCTTCATATTAGAATTTATTTTACTTAATACTACAGGCTTGGGAAGTCATCCAGTGGCTCCAGAACATAGCCACCTTAGGTCAGATACCATGAATGTTACTTTTTCCCTTCAAACACATCAAGACATATGACCACATCTCAGGACTGCAGCATTCTGCCTTTCTCCCACAGGTCCTTCCTTTTTATGCAACTCTCCTTTAGCCTGTATTCTAGTACCAAATCATAGCCCTTCCAGCTTACTTGTTTTGTTGGGGCCCTGCATTAAAGGGTTCAAAGCAGTCCAGAAATGTTGCAGTGCTATATTTGGGGGTTTATTTTAAAAAAAACTATTAAAGCAAGATCATGTTACTGTGGTACTATTCAGTAACTTGAACATTATCCCCTTGGAAATCTACTTTCATACCTTTCCTTTTTGTTCAGAGACTGTTAAAGCTCTTTCTTACATACTTATGCCACTCTATTTTTTGCCCTGAAGACATACATAGCATTCTTGACATGCTTTATTGAAAAAGATATAAGCAACAAAATGACAGTATTTCCAAAAGCAAAGTGGAACGGCATCAGAGACTGAAAATTGCCTAGATATCTCAAGAGGTTAAGAACTTAGCTGTGATATGGAAGCAGATAGAATGAGAATGGACTTGTGCAGAATGTAAACATGTTCTCTAGACAACACTGAAGGAGTTCTGACTGGTGTATGACCGAGAGAGCAGTCTTAAAAAACAGGAAAGTTAAAACGAATTTAGGAATCTGCATTTGACAGTTCTCACGAACAGCATAGACGCAGGGACTGCCAATTCCTGGTGTTGATCCTGCAGTGTCTAAGCTTTAGCTTGCGTTAGACTTTAGCGTCTCCTTTGCTATAAAAATACTACTTTGAAGACTGGATCAATGATTAATTTTATCCTTCAGTGTCAGGTCATCCCTATACTTCAAAACATCCAATTCAGGAAGTCTGAAAACTGAAAGAATAAAAGGGACTCCAAGTTCTGGAGGCTCTTAAGTGTCCTTTTAGAATACCAAGAGGAAATATATTTTCACTCTGATACTCAAAATTTTGAGTTTGTCTATTGTTTGTTCTGACCTTCTCCACACCAAGTTTAAAGCAGTTTGGAAACCAAGGTGTTGCACCTGGCCAGCACTGAGGTGATGTGTGCTTCTAAAGTGTTAGAAGAAAAACTATATAACTCAGTTTCCTTAACAGGGTTCATAAAGAAAAGCAATGAGTGTCTGTACAAGTGGGGTGCTTTCTTCTTTTAATTGTTGCATATATGACTTAATCTTTTCTAAAGACTTTATTCTTCCCTTAGAATTAAAGCTATCTTCCACTGGGCAAATCACAACCCTAGCTAGTATCCTATACTCATAAGTACCGAGTATTTCACTTCTCTATCATCTGCCAAAATAATACAGCATCAGTAAGTCAAGCTACACGGATCCAAAAGGAAGAGATCTTTGTTCTGACCAAGTCTACACCCTCCAACATGTGAGCTTAGAAACCTTTGGCAAGTTCTCTAGCTTTTCCCTAAAAAAAAAAAGTCACCAGGCCAAAACTAAATGTGAAGGCCACTGCTAGGACATTCCTTATTGTGCAATTTCCTGCTATGTTCCAGCATATTTTGATCTCTTCAGAGAAAAAAATAACTCACCTGTTTCTTTTTTTGAAAATAGCACAGCAGGATCTGCTGTTTGGAGTTCTGCTCTTCCTTGTGCAGGATGCATGCAATACCCCAGACTCTTAGGCTTGAAGGGTCCCATGCCAGCAGCCATCAATGAGGAAGCTGGGCTGGAGCATCAGTAACTGTTGTGATCACACGCTCAATTAAAAACATAAACAAAGGACTGGTGATTTAGTATTGTCTCAGGAAGTTTGCTCTCTGCACTAGTAGCCTCCACAGCAAGAGTGACAACAATTGCTTGTTAGGTAGTTCAACAGAACAGAGAATACCTTTTCACATCCAGAATACATCTCCTGCCTGAATTCACATACCTGAGGTGGGTCACTTTAGGAATAACTAACAGCAAGAAAACTGAATTTGCAAGTTCAGTCCATCTGCAACATTAAACATGATACTGCATACCCCAGCCTCACTACGCTACAATTGCCACAACGCAGAATTAAAGGCAGATGAATACACTGTTTACAATTTCATGTGCTTCTCTTCTTCTGACGTCTTGTGAGGAATATAGCAAAGAACCAAGTTCTGAGAGCATGGCACTATGGAGTTACTAAACAACTAGTAACCCTCTCAGTCACAAAAAGCAGTAATATAGAGATTTTTCTTTTATATCATGCTAATGGAGTTCATAGATATTTCATATATGGCCATTCATTTCGGCATATAAGAGCAGTGCTCTGTTATAACGACTGGTGGCAGTCTGATCACTTGTGGATACTAGGACTGCATGCTGTCTTCAGTTTGAAGAGCGCTGGGCTTCCTGGTCAATGCTCAAAAGCAAACAGAAAAGAGAGACAGGCATTCAGTTTAAAAAAAAAAAAAAAAACAAAAAAAAAAAAAAAAAAAAAAAAACAAAAAAAAAAAAAAAAAAAAAAAAACAAAAAAAAAAAAAAAAAAAAAAAAACAAAAAAAAAAAAAAAAAAAAAAAAAAAAACAAAAAAAAAAAAAAAAAAAAAAAAAAACAAAAAAAAAAAAAAAAAAAAAAAAAACAAAAAACACAAAAAAAAACACACACACAAAAAAAACCACACATGCAGGAAACTGCTAAATAATTACAATAAAGCTTCATGGCACTTGCTTCACAAAACATACAGCTGCTACTTGGGAAGCCACTGTATCTTGCGGTATCTCAAACCAGTATCGGAAACTGCAACTGCAACTGCTCCAGGCTAGATCCTTTACACATATGATAAGCTTCATTCAAGTAAAGAAACTGGTCATTTATAGAAGCTGGGAATATTGCCTTCTACCTTCACCTTACAGCAAGTCTGACCACTGAACTCCAATGATACCAAAGTTCCCACCCTCTACACTCCCTAAGCCATGCAAACACACTCTGCCAGCTCAAGACAAGCTATGGACCTGCAACCCTGACGTCTATGAGAACCTGAGCTGCTTGATCAGCAGAGCTGCACAGGAAGCTGGGGGCAGGGGGGGCTGTTTATTGCTGTTTGACCCAGTCAAAGCTCTGAAAAATGCTTTCCAAAAAGGAAGTGGACACAGAACAAAGTGTGAACATGGTCAGGTGGTTCACAAGTAACAGAAGTCACTTGATCCTCTCCAAACATAACACTATGCAGTCTTCTCCATGGTTTAACGTTTTGCTAGGGTCCTGTTTGCAATGTGTTACAGACAACCAGTTTTATTATAGCTTTCTTGGAATAGTACTGAGGAGAGCGTAACTGCTCACATGTACAGCATTATAGACCAGGGCAACCACAATCATTACAGTGGTGAGTACTGGAAAGCCGTAACCTAGATTAGCCTTCCTGCCAAAACTAGGTCAGAGAATTTTACCCAGTAGTTTCTAGATCAAGCTTTTCCACTTCTCAGAAAGTGATTCAGGTGCCTAGATGCAGGCAGCCGGTGCTGTCTGAAGTTGCCCAGGACATTCAAAACACTCACCAACCAGGGCAGACAGGTATGTTGCAGGTC